CATTCCTGCAGCACGAGTCTCCCAGCACCTGCTTCTGTGAGGCTCATATCAGATAAAGAGCAGAGAATATGGTCCTCCCTGCTCTCAGGGGCTCATGCCTGAGGGAGGGAAGGAGGGCACCCATACGGTACAAGAGTGGAAGTATGGTCCTCTTGAGGGGGCATGCCAAGAGAGAAGCTAGGAAGTTGATCAAAGCGTGGCCCCCGAGGGTGGGATGTCAAACGGGGTGTCAAGAGGTGGAAGCTGGGACATGCATGCTGGGCCATGGGAGAGCCATGATGGGAGGTCCTAGGTTCTGTTGTCCAGTGCCTGGTGGTTAGGAGAGGTGAGGTGGGTGTAGGGATAGGATGGAGGTGAGGTGGGTGTGGACAGTGCTTGACTGTGGAAGGAGAGGAAAGGGGGGCAGGAAGAGCTGCACAGAGGAGCAGAGCCAGAGTCAGGAAGGGCAGGTGGACACCCGTGCTGGCATTGGGGTCCCTGTCTGGCATCTGTGGCAGGTAAGCTGGCTCTAGGCGACTGCCACAGAAGGGGGTCCATCAGGCGTGGCGTGGCGACCTGTGGCTGGGACACGGGATGAAAGGTCACAGTTTGAGGGTGGGGCATAGTCAACTAGAGCAGGAGGGCTGGCCCATGGGTTTAGGGGCCAATAGGGCCACTTCCTCTGTGAGGTGGATGATGGCCAGCTGGGTGGATATCCTTGAAGCGGGGTAGAGGGAGTCCCCTTGCATCAGAGCAGCCTACTGTGGGCATTTTGCCTGGTGTCCCCTCGGGTCCCCCCTTCCAACGGATGCTTGTGTGGCCAGCATGGTGTCTGTGGCCCATTCCTGTCAGCTCCAGAGTCCATCAGTCTATGTGTCCGTCTGACCTTCCCCAGCCCTGACTAGCCAATTCACAAAAGTTATGAAGCGTGAGCAGGCCATGGGAGGCGCCATGTCCACATTCATGCTGTGCTGGGAGCTGAGCAAGGCAGCCCCATGCAGTGGTGGAAGGGGCCTGAGACCCTCAGAGATGAGGACTCAGGACGGGGCTTGGCTGTGGTGTGGCGATAGGTCAGCTCCCTGTGCCGGGGGTCCAGGTCCTCAGGGGCCTGCCCTAGTGAGGGCCTAGTCACTTCCTGCGGGGGTAGCAGATGGGACAGAGGATGAGGCCACCCACCATGTCCTGAGAGGGTCCTGTGAGCAACATTGATGAAGGGGCCCAGGGGCATCTCAGCGCAGAAGGAAGGACAGCTCTGTAGGTGCACAGGGGCCTCACATCCTGGGCCCTGTTGGGCCATGCTCAGAAGACAAGGTGGACACTGAAGAGGGTTCTGGAGTCTGGGCAGGGCCGTCATGTGCACAGACACTCAGATCTTGGGGGAGAGGCCAGGCCACCATGCCACCTTGAACTTCATGAATGGAGTGCAGCGTGTCCAGCGCAGAGACACTGGGCACTCGCACTGTTCAGACCCACCAGGAGACCACAGGGGATGTGGGCCTGGAGGCCTATCTCTCAGTCAAGAGCAACTTGCACTGCACGAGGCACCACCAGTGGCCAAGGAGCGGAGGACCCAAGTTGACCAGCTGCAAGCAGCCCAAGAGAGCTGCTTTTAAGAGTATGCAGGTCCCAAGGACACCTACTCCAGGACGACAGGCCAGGAGGAGGGTGGCTTTGGCTTCCCTTATAGCTGTGGTGTTCCTAGCTCTGTCAGTCCAGTTCAGGCCCAGTCATGCCGGGGCTCTGGCCCCAGCAGCAGCAGGAGTTGACAAGGCGGGAGTGCTGGTGCAAACTCGTGGGAAAGTTTAGGTAGCCCTCTTTGTGTCTCCGTCCCCAGATGTATCCCTCAAGATCATAAAATTGCTAAGAAATGAGGCCTGGAGGGGGCCACAGCCATGGTGTGGTATAAGCTGGGCAGCCTGGCATGTAGAGTGGGGGAAGGGGTCTGGGCCCTTGAATCTGGCATCAGATACACTCTGAGGCAGGATGAGCCATGGAAGATGCTGAGAGGACATCCCTTCTGATTACTGTCCCTTTCCATCCATCCTGTGGGCACTGTGGCCATTTCTATGTGTCTGTCCATGTCATGAGGTCCTCACTGAGGATTCCATTTCCTTTCTGGTTTGTATCTAGATGGGCTCAGCCTAGTCTGTCCTCTGCTCCCACGCACTGCCACCTACCCATGTGTCTGTGGGTCCAAGCTTTTATTCCTTATTTGCTCCAAAGTGTGAGTGTTTTATTGTCAAGTGTCCACATCCTGATCTCCCCAAATTCTCCAGAGAGTCTGATGTTTTCTGTGTCACTCTGACCCTGCCCAGCCCTGCCCACCAAGTTCACAAAAGGTCTGAGGAAGGAGGAGGCCACAGAAGGGACCACGGCCACACTGCGCTGCGAGCTGAGCAGGACTGCCCCCGTGGAGTGGAGGAAGGGGCCCGAGATCCTCAGAGCCGGGGACAGAGTGAGCCTGAAGCAGGACGGGGCCGTGTGTGAGCTGGAGATCCGTGGCCTGGCTGTGGCGGACACTGGGGAGTACTCGTGTGTGTGCGGGCAGGAGAGAACCTCAGCCACACTCACTGTCAGGGGTAAAGACCATGTGAGGCCAAATGGACTTGTTTCCATGTCACCACCTCCCCTGTTGCATCCTGTGGCTTTCTGTATCTTTTCAACTGGATTCCCCCAGCTGTCCCATGGCTCCTGTTTCCTTGTTCAGTAGATGTCACGTCCAGTTCTTTGTGTTCTCTGTTCCCGCTGGGGCATTTGCCTCCATCACCATCTGTGCATTTGTCCACTTGTTTATACTGTGCTCTTTTGCAGTTTGTGTGGTTTTTGTGGTGTCCTGGACACAGAGTCCCCTGAGAGAGTCTGATGTTCTCAGTGACTTCTTAGCTTTCCTCAGCCCTGCCTGCCAAGTTCACAAAGGGTCTGAGGAATGAAGAGGCCACAGACGGGACCATGGACATACTGTGCCATGAGCTGAGCAAGATGGCCCCTGTGGATTAGAGGAAGGGCCCCGAGACCCTCTGAGATGGAAATAGGGGGAGCCTGAGGCAGGGTGGGGCCGTGTGGGAGCTGGAGATCATGGCCTGGCTATGATGGATGCTGGGGAATACTTGTGTGTATGTGGGCAGGAGAGGACCTTGGCCATGCCCACTGTCAGGGGTAAAGACCACGTGTGATCAAGCAGAGCCATGTTTTGGTGTTCAGTTATTGACTTCATTGCATCCATCTGCATTCATTCCACGTTCTCTCCCTGTCTCGGTGCCACCCTTTTTCCATAAGGCAGTGGAATCCCTTCCACCTTCCTGGGCTGTTGTATGAACCAGAGGAAACCAGCAATTAAGCCACTTCCCACCCCTCGTGTCACCACTGGTACTGTCCTGTTGTACTGTTGGAGTCTGTCTTTTCCTCCATCCTGTCACGTTCTGACCCCAAACTTCTCCAGAGAATCCGATGGTCTCCATGTCATTCTGACCCTTCTCAGCCCTGCCTGCTTGGTTAATACAAAGTATTAGGCCTGAGGAGTCCACAGAAGGGGCTGGGCTGAGGGAAGCCACCAACCACAGTATGTCCTCGGCACACCCAGCACATGGCCCATGTGTGCTTGGGTTTTGTGTTTCCTCTGTGTTGTTCGCATCCTGCCTTTTGTGTGTGCTCACAGAGTGTGATTGTGTGTGTGTCTTTCTGACCAGCCCTGCCTGCCAAGTTCACAAAGGGTCTGAAGAATGAAGAAGCCATGGAAGGGGCTACAGCCACCCTGCGCTGTGAGCTGAGCAAGGCGGCCCCTGTGGAGTGGAGGAAGGGGCCCGAGACCCTCAAACCTGGCGACAGAGTGAGCCTGAAGCAGGATGGGGCCAAGTGTGAGCTGCAGATACACGGCCTGGTTGTGGCAGACGCCGGGGAGTACTCGTGTGTGTGCGGGCAGGAGAGGACTTCTGCCACACTGGCCATCAGGGGTAAAGACTGCATGTGGCCACCTGAATGACTTCTCTCTGCCACCTGTTCTGTGCTCTCCCAATGTCACTGTCGTCTTAGGGTTACAGTCACCGTCTGTCTGATCCATCTCACTAAACGCACTGGCCAGCCCTGTCTAGACCCTGTGGGTACAGACCCAAGGGACAGGTGGTGTGAGGACACCCCCAGGGAGGCATCATGGTCCAGGAGAGCTGCTCTGGGCCACTGGCATGTGGCTGGGGCTGTGGGTACGCATGGGGTCTCGACCTCAGGTGTGGAGTGGAGTGGAAGTCTGAGATCAAGGTGTGGACAGGGCTGGTTTCCCTCGAGACCTCTCTCCTTGGCTTGTAGACGGCCATCTTCTCTCCATGTCCTCACATGGTCACCCCTCTGTGTGTGTATCTGTGTCCTAATATCCTCTCCTTACAAGGACACCAGTCATGTTGGGTTAGGTTCCACTCCAGTGACTTCCTTTTTCCTCAGTCACCTCTTTAAAGACCACATCCCCCAGTACGTCTCCATTCTGTGGTCCTGGGGGTTAGGGCTCCAACATATGATTTCTGAGGGACACGATTCAGCCCACAACAGGTTGTAACCAGGGTGGGCTCTGGTCAGCTATAACTTGTGAAGCTCACACTCTTCCTGGAGTTGGGGTGCAGGTTGGAGGGCTTGGGGCGTGGTTAGAAGGCCACAGCTAGAATCCATCAGGGTCTAGGAGACCTGAGCTAGGAGAGTGCGAGTCCAGTGGGGTAAGGAAAGGAATGTGTGAGGTGGATGAGGTGGGGCCTGGTTTGGGCAGGGAAGGCATGCAGTGAGCCCAGATGTGGGCAGTGCTGGACTGACACTCTACCTGGGGTGGGGAGCACAACTGAGGGATGTCAGTGGGGCACTTGATGTCATGGCTGGAAGGTGCCTTCTGGGGTTCTCCCAGGAGAGATGTACATTGCATTGTTGCATGTGTGAGCTGGAGGAACCTGGTTCATACTCTGGGTGCAGACGAGGTCAGCGCTTAGACAGTATGAATGGGTATAGGTAGGACAGATGCACTCTGAGAAGACAAGCGGCCTGGATGGAACCAGTCCCCTGCCACTCTGCACCTCACTGGGAAAGATGCAAGATGATCACGCTGTCATATATGCGTTGGTCTGTCTCTTCACATGTCCTCCACATTGCTGCTTCTGTTCTCATCCTGAATGTTCCGGTCATACGCCCAGTCCTTTTGAGGGGTTGATGGTTTCTGTCCATCTAACCCTCTGCAGCCCTGCCTGCTCGGTTCATCCAAGATCTGAAGACCAAGGAGGCCACAGAAGGGGCCACTGCCATACTGCACTGTGAGCTGAGCAAGGAAGCCCCGGTGGAGTGGAGGAAGGGGCCCAAGGCCCTCAGAGCCGGGGGCAGAGTGAGGCTGAGGCAGGACGGAGCCATGTGTGAGATGGTGATCTGTGGCCTGGTTGTGGCAGATGCTGGGGAGTACTCATGCGTGTGTGGGCAGGAGAAAACCTCAGCCATGCTCACCATCAGGGGTAAAGACCCGTGTGGCCAAGCAGAGCTGTGTTTTGGTGTCCAATTATTGACTTCCTGGTTTCCCCCTGCACTCATCCCATCCACCCTCCTTGTCTCAGTGTCACCCTCTGCCTATAACTCCATGGAATTCCTTCCTCCTTCCTGGGCTGTTGTGTGAACCATGAGAAACCAGCTCTGAGCTACTTCCTACCCCTCGTGTCACTGCAGGTTCTGTCCTGTTGTCCTGTTGGAGTCTGTTTTTTCCTCTGTCCTGTCATGTCTCCAAAGTTCTCCTGAGACTCTGATGTTCTGTGTTCATCTGACCCTGCCCAGCCCTACCTGCTGAGTTCATAGGAAGACTGAGAAGCAAGGAGGCCACAGAAGGGACCACGGCCACACTGCACTGTGAGCTGAGCAAGGAAGCTGCTGTGGAGTGGAAGAAGGGGCCTGAGACCCTCAGAGCTGGAGACAGAGTGAGCCTGAGGCAGGACGGAGCCGTGTGTGAGCTGGAGATCCGTGGCCTGACCGTGGAGGATGCTGGGGAGTACTCGTGCGTGTGCGGGCAGGAGAGGACATCAGCCACGCTCACCGTCAGGGGTAAAGACCACATGTGACCACGTGGACTGGCATTTGGTGGCTGCCCATCACCTCTCTGCTCTCAGTTTCCTTTTCTACCCTGCTGTCTCACTGTCCTTTTCCTTCCATAATTCTTTTATTGTCCCTGTCATGGTCCTTGTCTGTTGTGTGGCACATATACAGGTTGGACCTTTAAGAGTCATAGTCCACAGTGTGTACTGGGCACACCGAACAGGTGGTCGACGTCCAGTTGGGTTTTATGTCCTCTCGGTACTGTACACATCCTGATTCTTCTGTGTGTTCAGAGAGCGTGATAGTGTTTGTTTCTGACCATCTCCAGGCCTTCCTGCCAAGTTCACAAAGGGTCTGAGGAAGGAAGAGGCCATGGAAGGGGCCATGGTCATGCTGCACTGTGAACTGAGCAAGGCAGCCCCTGTGGAATGGAGGAAGGGGCCCGAGACCCTCAGAGCCGGGGACAGAGTGAGCCTGAGGCAGGATGGGGCCATGTGTGAGCTGGAGATCCATGGACTGACTGTGGCAGATGCTGGGGAGTACTCGTGTGTGTGCGGGCAGGAGAAGACATCAGCCATGCTCACCGTCAGGGGTAAAGACCACATGTGACCACGTGGACTGGCATTTGGTGGCTGCCCATCACCTCTCTGCTTTCAGTTTCCTTTTCTACCCTGCTCTCTCACTATCCTGTTCCTGTCCTTCCATAATTCTTTTGTTGTCCCCGTCATGTTCCCTGTCTGTTATGTGGCACATGTACAGGTTGGACCTTTAAATGTCACAGTCCAGTGTTTCCTGGGCACACCCAGCAGGTGTTCCAAGTCCAGTTAGGTTTTGTATCTTCTATGAACTATCCACGTCCTGTTTCTTCTGCGTGTTCAGAGAGCATGATAGTGTTTGTGTGTTTCTGACCATTTCCAGGCCTGCCTGCCAAGTTCACAAAGGGTCTGAGGAAGGAAGAGGCCATGGAAGGGGCCATGGCCATGCTGTGCTGTGAGCTGAGCAAGGCAGCCCCTGTGGAGTGGAGGAAGGGGCCTGAGACCCTGAGACCCGGAGACAGAGTGAGCCTGAGGCAGGACGGGGCCGTGTGTGAGCTGGAGATCCATGGCCTGGTTGTGGCAGATGCCGGGGAGTACTCATGCGTGTGTGGTCAGGAAAAAACCTCAGCCACGCTCACTATCAGGGGTAAAGACCCATGTGGCCCAACAGAGCTGTGTTTTGTTGTCCAATTATTGACTTCATGGCATCCCCCTGCACTCATCCCACCTACCCTCCTCACCTCAGTGCCACCCTCTTCCCATAACTCCATGGAATTCCTTCCCCCCTCCTGGGCTGTTGTGTGAACCACGAGAAATCAGCATCTAAACTACTTTCCACCCCTTGTGTCACTGCAGGTTCTGTCCTATTATCCTGTAGGAGTATGTGTCTTTTCCTCTGTCCTGTCATGTGCTGCCTTTGAAGTTCTCCCATGACTCTGATGTCTGTGTCTGTCTGATCCTCCTCAGCTCTGCCTACTGAGTTCATAAGAAGATTGAGTAGCAAGGAGGCCACGGAAGGCACCACGGCCACGCTGCACTGTGAGCTGAGCAAGGAAGCCGCTGTGGAGTGGAAGAAGGGACCTGAGACCCTCAGAGCTGGAGACAGAGTGAGCCTGAGGCAGGATGGAGCCGTGTGTGAGCTGGAGATCCGTGGCCTGACCGTGGAGGATGCTGGGGAGTACTCGTGTGTGTGTGGGCAGGAGAAGACATCAGCCACGCTCACCGTCAGGGGTAAAGACCACATGTGACCACATGGACTGGCATTTGATGACTGCCCATCACCTCTCTGCTCTCAGTTTCCTTTCCATCCCTGCTGTCTCACTGTCCTTTTCCTTCCATAATTCTTTTATTTTGCCTGTCATGTTCCCTGTCTGTTGTGTGACACATTACAGGTTGGACCTTTAAATGTCACAGTCCACAGTGTGTACTGGGCACACCCATCAGGTGGTCGATGTCCAGTTGGGTTTTGTGTCCTCTATGTACTGTGCACGTCCTGATTCCTCTGTGTGTTCAAAGAGGGTGATAGTGTTTGTGTTATTCTGACTATCTCCAGGCCTGCCTGCCAAGTTCACAAAGGGTCTGAGGAAGGAAGAGGCCATGGAAGGGGCCACGGCCATGCTGCGCTGTGAGCTGAGCAAGGCAGCCCCTGTGGAGTGGATGAAGGGGCCCGAGACCCTCAGAGCCGGGGACAGAGTGAGCCTGAGGCAGGAAGGGGCCGTGTGTGAGCTGGAGATCCGTGACCTAGTTGTGGCAGATGCCGGGGAGTACTCGTGTGTGTGTGGTCAGGAGAAAACCTCATCCACACTCACTATCAGGGGTAAAGACCCATGTGGCCCAACAGAGCTGTGTTTTGTTGTCCAATTATTGACTTCATGGCATCACCCTGAACTTATCCTCCCTACCCTCCTCGTTTCAGTGCCACCCTCTTCCCATAACTCCAAGGAATTCCTTCCTCCTTCTGGGCTATTGTGTGAACCACGAGCAACCAGCATCTGAGCTACTTTCCACCCCTCATGTCACCGCACGTTCTGTCCTGTTTCCTGTTAGTGTCTGTGTCTTTTACTCCATCCAGGCATGTGCTGTTCCCCAGTAATCTCTGGAGAATCTGATGTTCTCCACACCGTCCAACCCTCTCCAGCCCTGCCCAGCAGATTTGTACAAACATGCGGCCTGAGGAGTCTGCAGAAGGTGTCACAGCCACACATCGAATGGACTGGGCCGAGGGAAGCCCCAGTCCACAGCGTGTGCTTGGCACACCCAGCACATTGCCCGTGTCCAGTTGTGTTTTGTGTCTTCTCTGTGATGTCCATGTCCTGTCTAATCTGTGCCTTTAGAGAGTGTTATAGTGTTTGTGTCTTTCTGACTTTCCCAGCCCTTCCCACCAAGTTCACAAAGGGTCTGAGGAAGAAGGAGGCCACAGAAGGGGCCACGGCCACACTGCACTGCGAGCTGAGCAAGGCAGCCCCTGTGGAGTGGAGGAAGGGGCCTGAGACCCTCAGAGCTGGAGACAGAGTGAGCCTGAGGCAGGCTGGAGCTGTGTGTGAGCTGGAGATCCGTGGCCTGACCGTGGAGGATGCTGGGGAGTACTCGTGTGTGTGCGGGCAGGAGAGGACATCAGCCACGCTCACCGTCAGGGGTAAAGACCACGCGTGACCACGTGGACTGGCATTTGGTGGCTCCCCATCACCTCTCTGCTTTCAGTTTCCTTTTCTACCCTGCTCTCTCATTATCCTGTTCCTTTTCCTTCCATAATTCTTCTTTTTTTTTTTCAAAGTCCCCCTTGGTTTGTTTTTTTTTAGACATCTTTATTGGAGTATAATTGCTTTAGTGTGTGTTAGTTTCTGCTTTATAACAAAGTGAATTAGTTATACATATACATATGTTCCCATATCTCTTCCCTCTTGCATCTCCCTCCTTCCCACCCTCCCTATCCCACTCCTCTAGGTGGTCACAAGCACCAAGCTGATCTCCTTGTGCTATGCGGCTGCTTCCCACTAGCTATCTATTTTTCCATAATTCTTTTATTTTGCCTGTCATGTTCCCTGTCTGTTGTGTGACACAAGTACAGGTTGGACCTTTAAATGTCACAGTCCACAGTGTGTACTGGGCACACCCATCAGGGGATCTGTGTCCAGTTGGGTTTTGTGTTCTCTATGTACTGTGCCTGTCCTGATTCTTCTGTGTGTTCAGAGAGGGTGACAGTGTTTGTGTGTTTCTGACCATCTCCAGGCATGCCTGCCAAGTTCACAAAGGGTCTGAGGAAGGAAGAGGCCATGGAAGGGGCCACGGCCATGATGCGCTGTGAGCTGAGCAAGGCAGCCCCTGTGGAGTGGATGAAGGGGCCCGAGACCCTCAGAGCCGGGGACAGAGTGAGCCTGAGGCAGGAAGGGGCCGTGTGTGAGCTGGAGATCCGTGACCTAGTTGTGGCAGATGCCGGGGAGTACTCGTGTGTGTGTGGTCAGGAGAAAACCTCATCCACACTCACTGTCAGGGGTAAAGACCCATGTGGCCAAGCAGAGCTGTGTTTTGTTGTCCAATTATTGACTTCATGGCATCACCCTGAACTTATCCTCCCTACCCTCCTCGTTTCAGTGCCACCCTCTTCCCATAACTCCACGGAATTCCTTCCTCCTTCTGGGCTATTGTGTGAACCACGAGCAACCAGCATCTGAGCTACTTTCCACCCCTCATGTCACCGCACGTTCTGTCCTGTTTCCTGTTAGTGTCTGTGTCTTTTACTCCATCCAGGCATGTGCTGTTCCCCAGTAATCTCTGGAGAATCTGATGTTCTCCACACCGTCCAACCCTCTCCAGCCCTGCCCAGCAGATTTGTACAAACATGCGGCCTGAGGAGTCTGCAGAAGGTGTCACAGCCACACATCGAATGGACTGGGCCGAGGGAAGCCCCAGTCCACAGCGTGTGCTTGGCACACCCAGCACATTGCCCGTGTCCAGTTGTGTTTTGTGTCTTCTCTGTGATGTCCATGTCCTGTCTAATCTGTGCCTTTAGAGAGTGTTATAGTGTTTGTGTCTTTCTGACTTTCCCAGCCCTTCCCACCAAGTTCACAAAGGGTCTGAGGAAGAAGGAGGCCACAGAAGGGGCCACGGCCACACTGCACTGCGAGCTGAGCAAGGCAGCCCCTGTGGAGTGGAGGAAGGGGCCTGAGACCCTCAGAGCTGGAGACAGAGTGAGCCTGAGGCAGGACGGAGCCGTGTGTGTGCTGGAGATCCATGGCCTGACCGTGGAGGATGCTGGGGAGTACTCGTGTGTGTGCGGGCAGGAGAGGACATCAGCCATGCTCACCGTCAGGGGTAAAGACCACATGTGACCACGTGGACTGGCATTTGGTGGCTGCCCATCACCTACCTCTCTGCTCTCAGTTTCCTTTTCTACTGTTGTGTCTCACTGTCCTTTCCTTCCATAATTCTTTTATTGTCCCTGTCATGGTCCTTGTCTGTTGTGTGGCACATGTACAGGTTGGACCTTTAAGAGTCATAGTCCACAGTGTGTACTAGGTACACCCATCAGGTGGTCGATGTCCAGTTGGGTTTTATGTCCTCTCCGTACTGTGCACATCCTGAGTCTTCTGTGTGTTCAGAGAGCGTGATAGTGTTTGTTTCTGACCATTTCCGGGCCTTCCTGCCAAGTTCACAAAGGGTCTGAGGAAGGAAGAGGCCACAGAAGGGGCCACGGCCATGCTGTGCTGTGAGCTGAGCAAGGCAGCCCCTGTGGAGTGGAGGAAGGGGCCCGAGACCCTCCGAGCCGGGGACAGAGTGAGCCTGAGGCAGGATGGGGCCACATGTGAGCTGGAGATTCGTGGCCTGGTTATGGTGGATGCTGGGGAGTACTCTTGTGTGTGCGGGCAGGAGAGGACCTCTGCCATGCTGACCATTAGGGGTAAAGACGGCCCTGTGGACTTACTTGGGAGCCTGTACTTGTGCCCTTGTCTCTTGTGCCCACACTGGCTCCCCGTGAGTGCTTGCCTCCTCTGTGCCATGTGCAGTTTCTTTATGTCACCCTTGTGCTCCCCCGTTAGAGCTCTGTTCAGTGTCCTTGTGTCTGCGTACTGATCTCCAGCCAAATGACCTCACATGGCTTACGCTCGCCGTAGGGAAA